GGGGGGGGGGGGAGAAGTAGGGCAGCAAGTAAAGACTACTCCTTTCTAGATTTTACTATAAGTGGGGAACAGAGCTAAAGGAGGGAAGAGATTCAGAGTGGTTTGTTTTGTTTTGTTTTTAATGGGTGAAGTAACAGCATATTTGTACGCTGATGGGAACGATCCAGAGAGGGGAAAATAGTGATGTGAGAGAGGGAGTATTTAAAAATTTTTGAATTTGAAAAAATTCAATTTGGCACAGCATTTTGGCACAATCTACACCATGCTTTGATCTGCTTCCCTCACTTATGTCACCTACATTTTACTTTGCACCCCCTGGCCTGGGTAGATACAGATCTTTATGAATAAGGCTGAAAGACAACCCTGGAATAGGTTGGTATGAATGTTAGTTAAAACCACTCCTGCCAGAGTAGACAGAGACCTCAAGTGCTAATGTACCCTCTTTCTAAGGAGTGTTTCTGGCAATTTGCTCATGCGGACACTACCAGGTGAAAAAAAAGAATGTCTGAAGCAGTTGAAATCCAAATACCTAATAATAAATAATGTCTTGCAGCTTTGGGGAACTTAGTAATTTATTTTATTTTAGTCTTCAGAAATAAATCTTGGGAAATGAGTGGTTCCTGGGTACAGGTAAAGGAAGAGAGAAAATTAAATCAGGGGTGAGTGGTAAAACAACAGTGGGAAAAAAAGAGGAGTCTTTGCCTGGACCTGAACTAGGACTCTATTTTTTAGAAATAAGACATTTATCACTGGACCACCAATATGTCTGTAGTCCAAAGACTGAGTAATGGCTATTCCAAATCAGAGAAAGGCAAGTAACCAATACATGAATCTAGGTTTAGAAGGTCAACTTCTGTGAAAGGAAAGGGAACTAATATATATTAATTACTTCGCTGAATAGTTTTATTCTAATCCCCCCTATCCTACCCTGGAAAAATGACCTATGGAGTGTAAATGTGGTAGCCAGCCTCCATGATGGCTTAGTGACCCCAATCTGTTGTTTCATTCTTCACCCCAAACTCTGTCCTTGAAAACTGATCTGTAGGATTTGGTTCAACATGCTTCCAAGCCTCTGCCTTCTGGTTGGATTACACCCTCGGGGGGAGCCCTGGAAGGCAGTTGTGGTGAGGTTGTCTCAGGTTGGCTGTGTACCCCAACAGCAGATCATTGCTCCTATCAAGGTGGCCTCTGCTCCACTCAGTATTCTGTCCCTGTTCTGATCCTTGTGGACCTAGAGATGACAACAGTTCCACAACTGCTGGACCCAGGTTTCTGCACATCCTTTGTGGTTTCCATATCCACATCCACACTTTTGTAATTAGTCCCTTTGAAAATAAAATTTCAAAAAATTATTTTAATTTAAGTATGTCATGTTTCATATTGGAACTCAGACTGGTACATTAATTGGTATCAGAAGTGGCTCTTGGAGACAGAACTGGTTTTGGAATTTATTTGGTCATATATTTAGAGGTCCAGGAATAGCCTCATTGCTGGGAGAAATAACTCAATTATAAATTACTTGAATTATCATTGGTGGTAGCCTGGGATGAAAGGTAAAATGTTGGCTGTATAGAACTTCTGAAAGTCCCAATAAGAAAATCACAGCAGAAACCCCTGGAGTTAAGACTTGACCCTGTGCTGATAAGTATTTTCTACTTTATTTTATTTTATTTTATTATTTTATTTTATTATTTTTTAAAAAAAATATATCTTTATTGATTTCAGAGAGGAAAGGAGAGGGAGAGAGAGAGATAGAAATATCAATGATGAGAGAGTCATTGATCGAGCCTGCAACCCGGGCATGTGCCCTGACCAGGAATCAAACCCTGATCGCCTGGATCCTAGGTTGACGCTTAACCACTGAGCCACACCCGGCCGGGCAGTATTTTTAATTTTAAAAGGAGCTTTTGCCTTGCTACTGGTGAAGACTGAATGCTTGACCATGGATCATGAAATAGTTGTGTAATCCAAACTACTGGTCATGAGCTGAGTTATCTGATTCACTGAGCCATAAATCTGGGCATGCACTGCAGTAATCCATCAGAATATGGAAGTGGTATATATGAAAGTGGGCCCCAGTCGGTCCAGAAGGCTCAAAAAAGCTTCATGAGAGGTGGCTTATATTCACATGGTACATGTGTTTTCTGCTTCTTTAATTCACACCAGACGCCTCAAGAGAAATTCCCCATTAAACAGAATTTATAGATAGATCTGATCCTGAGCCCACATGAATGGAAAGTAAATGGCCATTGTGCTACAACTCAGTGCAGAGGTAGCCTGAAAGATAGTGCTGAAATAAAATCCTCCCAGAGCTTTAAATACTTTAGTTTGTTCACTTCATTAGGGCAAGATAGTCTCAGGCACTGATCTACACTGACTCATCGGCAATGGCAAAAAGTTGGCCTGCTGGTTGGGAATGTTGAAAGAACCAGATCAGGAGAATGGTGTCAAGGAGATCTGGGGGAGAGAAATACACTTGAAACTCTTGCAATGGGGACAGGATGGAAAGATTTCTACAAGATGACCTATTCTGTGGAGTCTGCCTTTTCTTAGTTTCATTGGTCCTTGCTCAATGACCCTCTGAATACTCTTACAGTGTGTCCCATAATTCAGAAGCAGCTGGCTTGACAGGACAGAGGAAGGGTTTGCTAAAGGCTCAATTACTATAATATCTAGGCGACAGCATCCTGTGGTGTTCGAGTGGTGTCCTATAAGATGCCATAAACATCTTAAACCAGCAGCAAATATGTAGCCAGGGTGCGTGAGTTCAGTAATGAAGGAGTGAGGACTGGAGCGGCCCCTCTCACCATTCAACCTAATAACCCACTGGAATTCTGCTCTTTCCCTCTGATCTTGGGTTTGGAGGGTTTGGAGGGTTTGGAGATTTCAGTGGCCAAGAGAATTCTTTTCTTAGGGAATTTTGGAGGTTGAGACTGCCCTCTGGAGGTTCCTTGTATCGCTGAATAGATAGGCACAGAGAGTCAACGTAGCTGGAATGAACATCCTGATTACCTGGAAGAAATTAGGTTGGAGCTTCACAATGAGGACAAGGAGGATTTTGATGCTGAAGGTGGACTGCACTGGGTGTCTTCTGTTTGCACCCCTCTCCTATGTTCCAGGACTTTAGAGGTGATATCTAATTTAATCTTCTCAACAGCCCTACAATAATCGTAGTTCTTCTTGATTACTCTCTTGCTGTGTACCTGACATTGTTCTAGTACTTTATACAAATTGATTCAATTCATCCTCACAGAAGTCTTACATACGAAATATCCTATGATTCTCATTTCACAGATAAAACTTAAGCACAGGACAGTTAAGTAACTTGCGCAAACCCACAAAGTTAGGGGTTAACTGCTTCCCTATAAGGCTTCTCAGAGAGGGTAGGTATGATGATCTTGTTCTTACACAGAGAAAAAGAAAGAGAGAAGTAAAGGAATTTATCCCAGATATAGTCAGCTGCACATCTAGGACTCAAATCCAGATCTGTCTGCCCTTGAAGCTAATGTTCGTGTCTAATGCACTCTGCTTCCATCGTGATACTCCATTTTCAGGTGTGATAGAAGAAAGAGCTGACTGTAAAATGCAATTCTATGAACATAAAACACCCTTTTGATAAATTCAAAATTTATTTATGGTTTTTAAGAAATGCAAATGATGTAGTTAGATCAGCGATTTTCAACCTTTTTCATTTCGTGGCACATATAAACTAATTACTAAAATTCTGCAGCACACCAAAGGATATATTTTTTGCTGACCTGACAAAAAACGATAGGTCTAATTTTGATTCATTTACACTGGGTGGATATTGTTGTGCCGGCTGTTGTCATTTTTTTATTTGACAATCTAACGGAAAAGAGGTCAGTGCCCCTGACTAAATAGCCAGGTATTGCATGTTTTAAAAATCCTTGCAGCATACCGGTTGAAAATCGCTGATCTAACTTAAATTAAAAAGATTAAGCTTGACAATACAAGCGTAAGCATGTCCCAGATTTACTAACCTAGATAGTTCTTCCTTTAAATGTTTAGCTTATATTTGGACGTACTCCATAGAAAACTTGAAAGCCAAAAAATTATATATATAAAAATAAAATAAGTATATTAACATATAATATATTATATAAAATGTATTTGTTATTTTATATAAGTGTATAAAATATATATTAAAATATTTTTTAAGGACGTGTGATGACCTAATTCAAAATCATGGCCAACAGATTTTCTGGGAGAACACTGTTCTGGAATTCTATCCTTTTGTACACTTGTTAGCTGTCGTTAGCCCTGACCAAGGTAGGGGAGAGCCAGTGGTCAGCGTTCGCAGACTGAGGAAATGCACAAACCAGACCCGATGACAGGAGCCTGAGAAGGGAAACCACATCGCTCAAGGTGCCAGTAACTTGCCTTAGCGGCAGGTTTCCATCTTCCGCTGGTGCAGGAGGGCACGGTCAAGGGTCTGCTTGCTTTTGTAACGATTCCTGTCGCTGCCGTCCTTGGGGATTTCCTCCTTTGGAGCAGCACCGGCACCCCATCTATCAGATATGGACCCCGGGCTTTCTGACAGTTGAGAATGCTCTGCTTTTCAGATAACACCATCCAGTCGATTTTCTGTTGCTGCTGCTGCTGTTCGGTGCAGAAGCGGTAAGTCTGCTTCCCGAGGCCAACTGCTCGGAAATGAATTCATTCCGTTTCTTTATTGTCTACTGAGTCTCCACGTCCCTTTGTATCTGCTGTTGCCTTTGCCTGGGAAACCCTTCTCCCGCCCCCCCTCCTTGCCCTGTCCCCACCCAACGCCTATTTATTTAAAAACATAGGTCAAATGTCAGGCCTCCTGTGATCCTTTCTTAATCTTCTTGGATTTAATTGCTCCTTTGATTGTGTTCCCAAAGCATGTGACTTGATACTTTATTTAATATTTATTTAATGTATCCTATTTATATGTCTGTGTTCCACTCTATAATTTTTACCCTTTACGGGCAAGAATTCTGTCTTATTCATTTGAATATCTCCTCAAAACTCGGTGTGTCTTATACTTTGTTAGCTGACGCTAATCATTTGTTAGCAAATGACTGTAAGAATACAATCCAGGGCTCCGTGGAAAGAGTCACAGCTAACATTTAATGGGGGTGTTCCTTATGTCAGATTGCGCTAAGAGGTTTGCATCTATTAGCCCGAGAAACTCTCAAAACTACCTATGGATTTTTACAATCCCCATTTTACAGATGAGGAAGTTGAGGCTTAGAGAAGTTACATTGCTGACCCAAGGCCACACTGTGAAGTGGTAGAGCTGGGATTCAAACTCATGTGCTTAATTACTATGCCATGTCTACTTATAACAATAGATACCATCAATTGAGTAACATATGTAAAATGGTTAACACTGTGCCTGATACAGAGTAAGCTTTTCATGATCATGGTTATCATTTCATGCCCTTAATATGCACTGGACTCTGTACTGGGCTTGTGACATATGTTTCCCTCAATGTTATTTCATAACAACTCTATATACTCTTATCATCTCTAGTTTCCAGATAAGAAAAATTAAGCTCTAAGAGGCAGTAACTTGCCCAAGGAAATGGAGTTAGTCTTCTTAGTTTCAAAAGCCTTTGGAAAGAGACTTGGATTGTTGTACTAGTTTTGTGATGGTCCGGTAGGTTTATAGATAACTTGAGTAAAAATAATCACTTGTAACGTGATTATTTTTTAATGTCAGGCAAGTGAGAACACAAATAAGCCTGAGCAAAGATGAAGAACTTTCAGAAAAATATACTCAGCCTCGCAGGCGGTGGTTCAGCAAGAAGCAGGTGAGTATTATTTTGATGGGGGGTGAGGCGGGGGTAGGGGGGGGAAGCCCACCCTTTTAGGGTCTGCTCCATGGGGCACTTTTTGCTACCATGCCTAGAACCTAGCATCATGCTTGGCACATAATAAATGCTCAATACATTTAGTGAATGGATTTTCTAGAAGAAAGCGAAAGGAAAAAAAAGACCAGTTAACATAGTCTGCCCTGCCGTGTTTTGGAAGAACTTGGAACTGGATGGTAAATAGGAAAAAAACCAAACTGGCTCCTGCCGCTTTGAGGCTGGGATTAATTTTCAGTTCAGTGCAGGGAGGAACAGTGCTCTTAGGAAGCATGGTAAATCCAAGCACAAGCTTACAGCCCGTGGAAGAAAAGGGCTGCTTTTCTTTTTCCAAGGGAGAAAAATCCTTAAGACACAGTGAAGCTGTTGGGGAGGAAATCAAGTTTTAAGAACTGTGACCTGAAAAAAAAAAAAAAAAAATGCTGGCAAGAGAATGTGTGATCTTGAAAATTCACAAAATGACGAGTGTGTTGCTGGATCCGAAAGCTGTTTCCAAGTCGGTCATTTCCTATGTTCATCTTGCGCCGGCTTCTGCCCTGGTGCAGCGGGATGGGAGAAAAGAGGCGCAGGCTCGTGGGCCCCCGCCTCTTCGCTAGCGCGGGTTACTAGGCAGCTGGAGCAGAACTCACTCCTTGGTCTTCACAGCCCAGCAGGGGCCGTGTGCAGCCGTCCAAGCGCAAGCCGCTGCCTCCCCTCCCAGCCCCTGAGGCCGCCGAGGAGGTCAGAGTCATGGCGCTGTATGACTTTCTGCCCAGAGAGCCCTGCGACCTGGCGTTGAAGAGGGCAGAGGAATACCTGATCCTGGAGAAGTATAACACTCACTGGTGGAAGGCAAGAGACCGTTTGGGGTAAGAGCCGTGGCTTGGTTCTTATCAAATTCCTCCTCTTTTATCCCCTAAAGACTTCTGAGGCATAAAGAGGCCTGTACCGGCTCAGTTTCCCCAGGTTTATAACCTTCTTCCGTGTGAAAGGAAACCTGCCCCCCCCCATCCGCATGAGAGCACTCTAGGGCCACGATGCCAGGCAGACTCTTAGAAGTAGGTACACCTGCTTTCACATTCCAGTGCTGTCACTAAGTGTTGGGTCCCTTGGGCAAGCCGCTTACCCTCTCTGAGTTTCCATTTCTTTTTTGAAATTGAGCTATAATTGGCATATAATGTTATATTAGTTCCAGCTGTACAGTGTAATGATTCAATATTTGGATATATTGTAAGATGATCACCAGAATTAGCCTAGTTAACATCTGTCACCATACATAGCCACAGAACTTTATTCTTGTGATATGAACTTTTAAGATTTAATGTCTCAGCAACTTCCATATATGCACTATAGTATTAACTATAGTCAGCGTGCTGTACATTGCGTCCCCAGGACTTATTTATTTTGTCACTGGAAGTTTATATCTTTTGACCCTCTTCACCAGTTCTGCCCACCCCCACCCTGCATCTCTGGCAACCACCAATTTGTTCTTTTATCTATGAGCTTTTATTTTTTTAATTTAAAAGCATTTTTTAGATTCCTCTTATAAGTGAGGTCATACAGTATTTGTCTTTCTCTATCTGACTTATTTCACATAGTGTAGTGCCCTGAAGTTCCATCTACATTGTTGCAAATAGAAAGATTTAAACCTTTTTTATGGCGAAGTAATATTCCATTGTGTGTGTGTGTGTGTGTGTGTGTGTGTGTGTGTGTGTGTGACAATTTCTTTATCCATTCTTTCGTCAATGGATACTTAGGTTGGTTCCATATCTTGGCTATTGAAAAAAATGCTGCCATGAAAATTGGGGTGCACAGATCTTTTCGAGTTAGTGTTTTTCTTTTCTTCAGATACATACCCAAAGGTGGAATTGCTGGATCATCTGCTAGTTCTATTTTTAATGAGTTTTTATTTCTTTATTTGTCAAATGGGAATAATGATTCCTACAATATAGGTTCCTATTCTGACTATACTTTCTCTGGGAATTTGACTTTTTTCCCTATTAGGCTCTAAGGTAGGAACAGAAACAGTCTCTTCCTTATTTTCATATTTCTACAATGACTAGCTTTGGAAGTAGGTGCTGAATTAAGTAGCAAAGGAAAAAAGCCCCTGGGATGCAAACAGACTTCATCGTGTCAGTTCCAGTGGACTGCTCATGCCCGACCGAAGCCCTGGGCGGAGAACTCTGAGGAGTCCCTGGGCTCCCTGGCAGGGAATGCTGGTATTGATTTCTGATCTTTGTCAAGATTTGGAGATGAGAAGTATCTAAGATGCAGAAGTATGCCCTCTTTCTTTAAATTTTCCTGATTGTTGGCTGCCCTACCAGTTCTTAGCTTAGACTCAACATGTGATGGACACATTCAGTGGTAATAGAGTTATTAGTGGGTTCGGGACTGTGGAATTAGCGACTCCTGCAGGTGGCCCATTGGCATGACTCAGACCAAAACAATATTTAATGTCAAAGTTAATAAGTGAACATAGTTTTTTATAATATGCAAGCATGATAAATAATGCCAAAATTCGGCTTTGCCACACCTCCAAGCCCGGTCTCTTTCTCAAAAGTAAGCACCGTGATTCATTTAGTGAATAGTCATTTTCCATGCACTTTCGTGCACACACCGAAATATACAGTATTGTTTGCGGATTGAAATTACCTAAATCTTAATCACACCTTACGCATCGTTCTGAAAGTTGCTTTTATTTCCCAATAATATGTCTTGGGGGTCTTTTTGTAATTTCAAATGTTGGTGGAGATGTAGGGAAGGAGAATGCCTGGCCTTCTGATGGGTGGGGAAGTCGGTGCGCCCTCCTTCCGGGCCATTTGCTGTATGTGCTGAAAGATGCACACGCTTGGGGGCCCAGCAATTTCCCTGCTGGTGTCTGTACTAGAGAAATGCTCCGACTTGTGCACAAAAAGGCATGTTCAAGTATTTCTTCACCACGTCGCTGTAATAGGGACGTGGCTAAACTGGAATACTTATTCTATCAAATACTCTGCAGCAATTAAAGAGAATTAAGCCAATATCTTTGTAATTGCTCTGTTGTTAACCTAGTCACTATGACGTGCCAGTGGTCCTGTAAGTGCCCCCTTTCCTTTTAAAAAAGCTTCTGGTGTCACAAATTACCTTAAACTACTCACATTATAAGTCAGAGTCTTACTATTTATTATACAGAGATTTTAGTTAAACGTGGAAATGAAAAACCTGCCTTCCTCTTTTAACAACTAAATCAGTAAAATGAATTTGATTTCCCCTCCATCTTTGACATTTTACAAGACTTGTTGCCATGATAATGCAACAGATGTGGCCAAATTTTTTATTTTTGCTTTGTCTTTTGTTGTAGGAACGAAGGCTTTATTCCAAGCAACTACGTGGCTGAAAACAAAATAACCAACTTAGAAATATATGAGTAAGTGCCCTCCAAAATACGTCCTAAGGTTAATCTATGAAAATCAGGTACATTTTGGCAGCTTAGAAGTACAGAAACTGTTTTTGGTCTAAAAAAAGGAAAAGAAACTAACACATTCGGCAACTCTAGCTTAAGAGGTCTTTGATCCTTATAATGGTTGATTCAGAAACCTCTTTTTCTTAAACATATTTTTGTTTCAATTTGTGTAGCCACTTTTTTTTTGTTTTGACAGCGACAGCATGAAACCAAACACTAGTCTTGCACTTGTTTTACTACATGTCCTAAATGGAAAATTAACTATTTTAAAAAAGACATTAACTTTTCAGTGAGTAGCAAATCAGACTGAATTTATAGGCACATTACTATATTTTGTCTCATGTTTTTAAAAGTTTTAGAAGTAGCAGAAGATCAGAACTAGGCCAATGTAATTTGGAAGAATTCTTGGCATGTTTGCGAGAGTCCTGCTTAGAAATCTATTTTTGTTATGTAGATTTGGAAGATAGAGGAGATCTTAGCAATTACCTTTTTAGCCCTTCATTCTGCAGATCAGAAAGTAAGGCTGAGAGATTAATTTATAGGCAGAGACTAGCAGAGCTGGGAGTAGTCCCAGTCTTTTATAAGCAGGTTTAGCTGGAGCCCTTCGGTGCTTTCCCCCTACTTGGATACTTGTTTTGCAATTAGCATATGCTTCCAGCGGGTGGCGGTAGGTGACTCATTGAGGCATTAAGACAGGCACTTCTTTGAGAACCAGGCTGCAAATATAAATTTAATGAGAGACACCCCCCCTCGGTCTTCCTTGCTACTAATTTAAGCCCACCTAGAGGCCAGACTCAGCATACCCTTTCCCTAAAACAAATCCAGTTTTAAAAGAGGTGGTGAATAATGTACACTTTCTTGGAGGAGAGAAACAGATGACCACAGGACACATGACTCATCTATATAACTGACCAGACTTCTCTGTTTGTTATTTCTCAAGCTAGTTCTCTCTCCCAGGCCACTCCACTCGGCTCCACTATAGGGTCTCTTCTCTCTCCTCCCCGCCTTCACTCCCCTCCCGTGATCTGTGTCATTTAGCTCCACTCTGAAATTCTAGTCTCCAGTCCATTCTAGCCCTCAGGAGGCTGAACCCACCTTCCTTGGGAAGTATTTCCACAACTGTCTGCAGTTCCTCAAGGACGGCCCGGGGGGGTGTCACCACCATCCCCAGCTAAAGCTGACCAACACAAACAGGTCTCTCTCTCACTCTCTCTCTTTTTGTTTATCCTCTTATTTTTTTTGTTTTAATTTTTTTTCAATTATAGTTGATGTATATTATATTAGTTTCAGGTGTAAAACCCAGCAATTAGACATTTATATAACTTACAAAGTGATCCCCCTGATAAGTCTAGTACCGACCTGGCACCATACAGAGTTATGACAATCTCATCGACTATATTCCCTAGGCTGTACTTACAGCCCCAGGACTGTTCTTTAACTCCTAACGTGTACTTCTTAATCCCTTCACCTTTTCACCCATCCTCCCAACCCCCTGTCCTTCTGGCAACTGTCAAATTGTCCTCTGTATCTATGAGTCACAAACAGGTCTCTTTGAAAGCCAGGTCAGGGAAGTCTTGTTTGGAAATCTCCTGTAAAGAAAAATTAGAAAAATAAGACTTTTTTTCATATCATAATCCCAACTTGGATTTTCCAGGAGATTAAAGGAGATACGTGTAAGGGTATGGAACAGTGTCTGGTGGTTAGTGTGGGCCCTGACCTCTCAGGGGAACGTCTATATGTAGAAATGTTTATTGCTGCTTTGGATTTAAATTAAGATCCAATGATCAAGAATACAATGTAAAAACCTACCTCACATATATGCAAGATGATTGTAGCCAACCAGACAGAGTTGGATATGTTGGATTTTTATTTATTTATTTATTTTAAAATATATATATCTTTATTGATTTCAGAGAGAGGAAAGGAGAGGGAGAGAGAGAGATAGAAACATCAACGATGAGAGAGTCACTGATCGGCTGCAGCCCGCAACCCGGGCATGTGCCCTGACTGGGAATTGAACCCTGATCGCCTGGATCCTAGGTCGACGCTCAACCGCTGAGCCAGGCCCGGCTGGGCTGTTGGATTTTTAAAAATGTGTCAATAGAAGCCCCATCCCAAGCCGCATGTCCACATCCTTCAGTATTAGTTTTATAATTAGTGTTGTCTGGGTATGAGTTATAGCCGTATTGATTTAAAAAACTGCAGTTTTCAGTAAACCTTCAAATTTAACTTGTAAATCTTGATATTCTATTTATAAATATAAAAATATGAACAATTACCTTATTTCAAACTCAACATATTAAATGTCTTTCAACAATCAGTCCCATTTATAAGCTCAGCTAATTAAATTTCCCGAAACATTTAACTTCATTAATAAACTGAATAAATTCAATTTTCTTTTTAAATACTTTGCATGCCAGACAGGGCAAATTTGCAGTTGTAATAGCCCTTTGTAAGTCTTTACATGATGCTGGATATCTAATAAATTAAACATATGTGAATCTAATCTAAACTTAGGTAAATCTAATAAATCAAGTTCTCTTAACCATACAAATATTTTTTAAATGAGTCAAATTCCCTTAAACTTCAAATACCAACTTTAATTATAAATTTTAAACCAGAGGTAAAAACTCAATATGCCAGATTATCTTAAAATTATAGACATTTAAACTATCAAACATTGATTATCCTGAACCTTATAAAAGTATGTCTGATCTATATCATTATCTCTACACTGGCTGCTTAATATTTTCAGGGTTAGAGAGTCACTTACTAAAGGAAGCAGATTTACCTTCTCATGCCTAACAGGGTTTCTAGCTTGGAAACTCAAGAGCACAATACTGTTGCTTATTGATCGGATGTCTAAGACTGAGATGTGGGACCGAGGCTCACATATACGCAAGATGATTGTAGCCAACCAGAGTTGGATAGGCTGGATTTTAACAAATGTGTCAATAGAAGCCCCATCCCAAGCCGCATGTCCACATCCTTCAATATTAGTTTTATAATCAATGTTGTCTGGGTATGAGTTACAGCCTTACTGATTAAAAAAACCCCACTCTTCTAACTTTTACCATCTGATTTAATTCTGAAACACCATGCCCCAACTTCCGTAAGTTATAGTCATCCAACCTCATTCCTGCCTGTGGCAATCCTGCATTATTTTAAAGAATCCTAAATTCATCATATATTTCTATCTGGCTCTTTGGCTAATGCATTCTAATGACATGCACACAGATTTTTAGTTTACATTTAAACAAAATAATGCATTTACTTATATTACTTATCACTATAGTAATACAAAGCAACAAAATTAACACTGATATGATGGCAGGTGGAAAACATTTAGAAAAAATGCGATTTATGTTAACTTCTATGCAGTCTCCTTTTCACAGATTCAACATTTTAGCGAGCTCTAATCGTCACCCTCCTTTTAGCACCCACATTTCACAGCTTAGCCGGTGGGACCCTTTAAACTGATAGCCCGTGTCTTTAACTCTGCAACAGGAGAGCTCAGACTCATCTTGAAATTCCCTCCACAACATGAATATTCATTAAAAAGTACTAATGATATTCACAGTTGAGCATCACAGTTACTCTTATTCCTACTAGCGATAAGTAGTCATATTATTTTATCTAGGATCATCCATAATCATTCCTATTCTCTATGGCTCATCCTCTTAAAGGCTCGTTTTCATTTTAAGGGCGTTAGTATTTTCACTACCTGGCCATTGTAAGTTAGTGGCAGCCTTCCACCGCTGGAGGTTAGGGGAAGTCCGTGTAATAAGACTCATTCCATCCTCAGAGTCAGCTCTGAGTTTCGTTGAGCCACGGTCTGGCTCACCCGCTATGACTCAGTGCATGGCTCTAGGTGCAGTCTTCCTTCCACTGTCCATAAAGAGAGCATTTCTGGTAATATTAGATTAGCTGCTTTTTAAAATCTTGTTTTGAAACGAAAGTTTTTCCATTTTTCTTTCTCTCGCCTTGGTTCTACCATTTCCTTTCTCTTCTTATACAACGTTTACTTATGACTAGGTATTGTCATACCAAGTTGTATGTTTAAATTACAATATTATTTAATTATGACAGCTATGCACACTTCTGGAATTCTAAAGCAGTGATTTTCAACCGGTGTGCCACAAGAATTTGTAAAAAATTTTTTTTAAAAGTATGTTTTTATTGGTTTCAGAGAGAGGAAGGGAGAGGGAGAGAGAGAGACAGACACAGCAATGGTGAGAGAGAGTCACTGGTCGGCCGCCTCCTGCATGATCCCGCTGGGGATCCAGCCGGCAGCCCGGGCACGTGCCCAGCCCGGGAATCGAACCCTGTCCCCTGGTTCATAGGTTGACGCTCAACAGCTGCGCCACGCTGGCCGGGCTGCCACGAGAATTTTTAAAACATGCAATACCTGACTATTTAGTCAGGGCCACTGACCTCTTTTCCTTTATATCGTCAAATGAAAAAATGGCAACAGCCAACCCAGTAATAGCCATCCAGTGCGAAAGAATCAAAATTTTACCTATTTTGTTTTTGTCCAATAGGCAAAAAAATACATGTTTTGGTGTGCTGCAGAATTTAAGTAGTTAGTTTATGTGTGCCATGAGATGAAAAAGCTTGAAAGTCACTGTTCTAAAGTCTTATAGTGACATGCTTCATGCAGAGGTAATGGCCAGATCAGAGGCAGAAAGGGTGCGGAGAACTGGAGGGACGAAGGGTCCCAGTGGGGGAAGCTCAGTGAGGGAGCAGAGACTGAGGAAAGGGGGCGGAGGGGGTGCGGAGCAGGGTTATATGCTCCACTTAGCCTACTGAACTGCTAACTTTACTACGACTTAACATGCGTAGGATAAGTTAGAGTGGGTTTTCATTTTGAAAGGTAACATAGCAAGTACAAAAACATGCAAATAAGAAGTTCCAGAGAAGAAAGAAACAAGTATTTTTTTAGTTTGTCTACCAAAGCTCAGTGAAGTGTTTATTGAAGAAGAGGACTTCTCTTTTTATTTTTTATTTTTTAAATCCTCACCTAAGGATATGTATTTGTTATTGATTTTAGAGAGAGAAGAAGGGAGAGGGAGCGAGAGAGAAACATCGATCAGTTGCCTGCCCCCGACCCTGGCCGGGATTGAACTCACAGCCTGGGTATGTGACCTGACAGGGAATCAAACCCACACCTTTGGGTGTACGGAGCAACACTCCAACCAGCCCAGCCACACCGGCCAGGGTGAAGGTGATGAGTTCCTAACCACAAGCCTTTCATGGAAATTTTCAGGTTAAATTGTTCAAAATTATACACTAAGTGTGTGTCAGAAAGTTGCATTGAGATATAATAGAATAAACTTGCAACTAATGAACCTCCACTAAACTAACTGACCCATAATAGTACATTATTGCTTGTGTGAATTTAGAAAGCACTCTATTTTCTAAAAATCGGTTCTGGAGTAAGTTTTTAAAAACAAGGGAAATGGAGCAGGTGTTGTTGTGTGGTTTTTTTCTGGGAAAAAAAAAAGAAATAATAAAGGTTAAAAATTATTTTTATTGCTTTTACAGGTGGTACCATAGACACATTACCAGAAATCAGGCAGAACGTCTTTTGAGACAAGAGGTAATTCAATTTATTCCTGAATAAATCTGTTAATATTTTCAAAATTTCTGTGAGAGCTACATTGTAAAGAAAGATCTGATTCAACTAAAAAGTTTTATTGCTTCCTGTTCTTTTTAGTTTTAAAGTATTACAATTTCATCTCTATACACATTTTTTGATGTTGTAAACTAGTTGTCTTTGTATCAGATTGTGTTTTCTATTGATTTTTATCATAATTTTAGATGCACATTTTCCCTGAAATGATTTCAACACCGACATTCTACAACCCCTTCATCACTCCAAAGTGCACTCTACCAGTACAGTCTATGTTCGAATTGCCCAGATACCTTTGCCTAAATTCCAATCCCATATACACCCTATCCTCGTGAGCTTAGCTCATTAAATACACAAATATAGAAAAACACACGGAGCTGTATCTTCTTTGTTCTTTGGGAACAAAGGGAAGAGTAAGGTAGCCAAAATATCAAGCTCAGGTCAAAACTGCTCATTTAGGTCAAAACAAAACAAAACTGCATATAGTTTAAATTTCCAACTGATGGTAAATGTTAACTGTGGGTACACGTAGAGTCAAAACCAGAAAGTAGGTAAGAGGTATGTGTGTCTTTATACCCTGCTGTCGGGTGTTGAGGAAATCTAGAAATATAAGTGAGAAAGAACCTGCTCCGTAACTAAAAACTCAATGCCAGTAATGGCTCAGGACGCAGGGAAGGTCCAGGTAATAGCGGGGGGATGGGCAGAGCACTAGGACAGGGACCCAGCGTCGCCTCACAGGGACCCCCAGCCTCGCCTCACAGGGGCCCCCAGCCTCGCCTCACAGGGGCCCCCGGCCTTGCCTCACAGGGGCCCCCAGCCTCGCCTCACAGGGACCCCCAGCCTCGCCTCACAGGGGCCCCCAGCCTCGCCTCACAGGGGCCGGCACGAGGCTGGAGGGCAGGCCTGGCTTCACTGGCTAGGAGGACATGGAGCATCTGCCTGGCCTGGTGACAGCAGGTGGCTTTCTGTAAAGTGCCCCAAAAGCCGTTGGGGATCCAATTCATAATCTAACATCAAACTTACTAGAATATTCCTCCCTCTTGCCATTTCCCTTTTTGTCCTTCCCATACCCTATAGAACAACTAAAATGGCTCTCCTTGCTCTCCCCTCCAGACTCCCCCAAATTTATTCTCTCTTCATCTTTCTTACAAACTCTGGTCTCTTTTCCCACCCCCATCCCAACAATTTCAGATGTATTTCTCCCTTCCCCCTGTCTCAAGAGTTCTTCCTACTCATCAGCTATTTCAATCTATTATCCTAATCAAATAACAAAAATAACTAAGTGGTGGGGACCAAGATTGTCAAGTGCAGGTTTTTTTCTTAGGAAAATTGGGGCAAAGTTTTAAAAGACTCATATATAATAAATCCTTGTCTTAATTATATTTTATTTTATAGGCAATATTTCTAAGCCCGTGCTTGTAAAAACAATCTCATCCTTTTATAATAAGTCAGCACAGCTTTGGTTTTCATTACTGAGATGCAGATTTGTCTTTCTTTCTAATAAAACATAAACTTGTACAATGAATTGTTTTGCAGTCTAAAGAAGGTGCATTTATTGTCCGAGATTCAAGACATTTGGGAACCTACACAATTTCTGTGTTTACAAGAGATAGGAGGTAAGCAATTGTTGCTTTGGTCACTTTAGAAATAACAATCCCTGGGACAGCCCTTTACATGGTGGCACCATCACCTAGAGGATGTAAGTGAGGGCCTAGCATAGGGAGAATGCTGGACTGGAAATTAAGACAACTCCCCAGTTCAGTTTTCAGTTTGTATCCCTAACAAGCTCTGTGTGTGGCACTGGATGTTACTTAGGCTCTCTCTTCTTTTCTCAACCATCAAGTGAGGGGGTTAGATTAGCAGCAGAGCTGGCGGTGCTTTCCTCATATGCCTTGGTCTTTGCTGGATTTACCTGCAAGGAGTTCACCTGTACTCAAAAAGCTTCCTGTGTCTTTCTGCCCGAGGATGTTCTCTGGATGAGGGAGCTCATGGTCCCCACAGATAGGCTGGAAAGGCCTGAGAATTAACATCGTAGGAGCGACCCTCCATTAATGAGGGATGGCAGTTGGTAGATAGAGTTTCGAGGTGTGTTCCACAGTCTCTCGGCTTCCTTTGAGGATTGGGCTCCAGTTGCCCAAAGCAAAATTGCTCCCCAAGACACCCTGTGTTGTTTTCCTCCCTTCTTTCTCACATCGCCTCACAGTGCATTTCTGCATTCACTTAACCCATACTTGATAGTCAATAAACACTTAGGTGCCCATTCTGAGATCTAGTTGTCACCGAGACAACTCTGGCTGAAGTTACGTTTGATTCTAAGGCCCCAATGAGAAGCTGAGGAATTTTCCTGGGATGGCGAGGCACTGGTTTAATTTAATCCAATCGGCTCTTCAGTGTGTAGTGTTGCGGGCCTCAGAGTTTGAGAGGTGAAATCTTGTTGCTGATTGAATTGACTTAGTTCCAAAGCTATCTTTTCTTGTTTACTAATTCACATTTTATTGATTGTAGAACCCTGGAGCCTGTCATCAAACATTATCAGATTAAAAGGAATGACTCAGGACAGTGGTACGTGGCTGAAAGGCACCTCTTTCAATCAGTCCCTGAGCTGATCTGGTATCACCAGCACAACGCAGCCGGTAAGTCAGGAACTTCAGGCTGGGAGAGTCGGGAGCTGGGCTCTAGAGGGGCCAAAGCATCTTTGGCCTCAGGCACTTTACCAATATCCCTGTAAAAATGTGTAAGGACTTGAAATGCGACGTGCGTCTGAACAGTTCTCTTCATTGACTCTTCTTTGTTTTTCTAGTCAGGGGGCAAGAGCTAGGTCAATTTTGTACATTTTTGCCACATTAGAAAATGATAGATGACAGAGAAGCAAAGGCTATTTAGTCTATTATGTATTTGTTCCTGAAATTTCCATAGGGCTAAGTGTAATAGGATTTCCAGTGTCCTAAAGAATCATGGTCCCTTTTCCTTGCCCCCATAAATCTCTGCTTTAGACTATTGCAATAGAAAATTGCCATTCTTAAATCTCTGTTCTTTCTTGTTTGGAGAAAAGAAACAGCTACACAGAACACAGCCTCTCACTAATTGCATTTTGGCCTAAATATACTGGAGGCATATGTAAGCCCCCTCCCCAGCTATTGTTTGTAATAATTGCTATTTGTGCAAATCTAGCATCTATGGAAAGATACAGGATTCCAGAAAGTCCCACCACAACTGCAATCACATCTCTGCCTTCAGCCCTCACCCCACTTCTGCTAGACCACTTGGGGCCCGTGGGGGGTTCCCTTACCTCAGCACTATCGAATTTGGAACCCACTGGACCTTTCATATTGTTTTGAGTTCTCATATAATATTTGTTAGATTTCTCTCATGGAAAGTTGTGTTGAAAAAAAAATCTCTTTTGGAAAGCAGCCACTTTTCCATTCTAAATATCAGGAATAAATCCAAGGGCATTTTTACCCACGTATGGGGCGAGTCCGCGTGGCTGTCCCAGATGGTCGCGGGAGTTTGTTGGGAGAGGATGTGGCCGCGCGTCTGAGCGGGGCCGGGGAGGCCTGTTTGCAGCGAGAGGCAGGAACCTCCGACGGAGGCCAGTTCTGACTTTTCTCCTTCACGCTTCCCCTTCCTTCAAAGACAACATTTAAGAAGCAGAGTGGTTATGGTGCTGAGGTTAAAAAAACAAACAGGGGTAGGTCAGGATGTGCCAACATGAAAAGATGCTCGTGATAAGTTGTTTAGTGGAAAAAAAAAAGTACAAAGCAGTATATTTAGAATTAGGCAACTTCTGAAAAATATATACATTTACACATACATGTGTGCATAGGAAAACTGTTGACATTTAGGTAATAATTTTTAAACTAATAAGATTATAACAGACAACAGGCTGTTAATGTTTACCTCTGGGGAATAGGACTTGGGGCATGGGAAGCTTTTATTTTCTGCTTTACAAATTGCTTTAGGGTTTAATTTTTTATTACAATGTACATAAATTATTCTTATAATAAATAAAATATCATACACATAACTTTTAAAATAAAAAACCTGGATCAAGTGAAAACAATGAAAAACAGGGCCTGAAAACTTAAAACTATGGCTGCTATTTATTAAGAGAAAAGAAATAGTGAAAAAATACAGCAACAAGAAAGAAGGGGGATAAGAGGAAAGGCCTGGGACCCAGAAATGACTCATTTGTTGTGGACTCTCTTTGGGCCAGACCTGTTCTGAGTGCTTTTATGTATATTTATTTACTTAGTCTTCAGAGCAGTCCTGTGAGGCAGGTACTCTTGCTATCTCCATCTTACAGATGAGGAAACTGAGGCATGAGTTGTGAGGTGACTTGCTCAAGGTCACACAGTTGCTGAGTATCTACACTGACACTTGAACTCACAGAAATCTTTGAAACCACTGGAGCCATTGAACCTATTAAATCCAGAGTCTGCATTCAGCTACTGCCGTCACCTCCAGAAAGAGGCAAATCATGTCCCTGGAGACTATTTTGGAGGGTCCACTTTTGGAAGATGTTGTGAATGGAAGCCCATGACTGTCTTGTCTATTTTTTGGCCTCTGGTCAGTTTAGCTCCTTACCAGAAGTAATGACAATGCAGAGAGTGACTTCTTTCTGTCAGAGAGAGAGAGACTATCAAACCACTGGTAGTAATTCACCGAATGAAAGTATTGGACAAATAAAATCTTTTACGTTAGAGGGAATTGTTGGGGTCTTAAGGAGAGTCCTCTTTATGTTTGTTTGGACCATTTGTTATAGACCCAGCTTGATGAAGGCTTGAACCGCAACTAGGTCTTCAGAGTCACTGGTGATTCTTTTATGTGTCCTGACTGGAGATGGAACCCGCAACCCCGGTGTATCGAGGCTGATTCCCTGATCACCTGAGCTACCTCCTATGCTATTTTTTAAAAAGTAAATTACTCTCAAAAAGAAGACTAGGTTAATGGTTACCCTCAAGCTCTGTTTGGTTGAACAAATTGGTACAACCTTTGTAGACACCCTTTGATCAGGAAACCCCATGTTAAGGAATTTATCCTGAGGCAATAATTTGAGAGGTGCATACATATATACATTCAAGATCATACAGCATATTTTACAATAGGGAAATCTTGGAAGTAACTTTAAGGTCTCTTTATAGTCATTGGCATATATCAATTACATGTTGATTGCAAAAAATTTATAGCAAGACATTTTCATTTCTGTAAAACGTATTGGATGTGTGTATGCTTTCAAATATGCATACAGAGATTTTTCCAAAGATGTTTATCAAAATGATAACAGTATATCTCTGGATGTTAATATTTTGTGGAAGGACCTTTATTTCATCTTTATATGTTTTTGAATTCTTTAATTTGTCTTCAATGAGAATGTATTATTTTATGAAAAATGTTTTTCAAATGGGAAAAATAAGCAAACAGACTTAGTAGGATACTTTTTTCCTTATTTATGTAAAGAATGGTACTATCGTCTAGCACGTCATTTGTATCAGTAACCAGGCTTGAGATCCGATTTCTCTTTCTCCCTAGGCCTCATGTCCCGCCTCCGCTACCCAGTCGGGCTGATGGGCAGCTGTTTGCCAGCCACGGCTGGCTTTAGCTATGGTAAGGTATACACACGTGCTCCAGCAAAAGACCAAATCAGCAAAGAATTTACCCCAAGTTCCCTCCATGTCCTTTAAATTCTCAGCTCTCTGAGACGTCCATCGAGATATGCTTCTTCTCAAAGTTTAAATCTCCCTTCTGAGATGTTTAAATATATGCATCTCATAAGGGCAATTTAAACTTTGGGGGGAAATGTTACTTTTACTCCATATTTCATTAAACATTATTAAGAACCTTCTTGATAATTACAGTTCTTTCCATTTGAATGTTTGGGCTGTTGCTCTCTGGTTACGTGGGTGGCAGGGAAATGACTGCTGTCCAAGAGAACCTGTAAAAACGAGCTGCTAAAAGTATCCCTGTCACCTTTTTCAAATAGAGCCTGGAAAAATTTTGATTTGAACTATTTTCTAACAAATGTGTTATTTGCAAATTTGTGAGAATACATGGAGCCAAAGAATCCTATATTCTAATTTGGTGACACTTTATCCCCTTAAATTTCTCTCACTAGTGGGACTCAGAATATACTGGGGGGAAAATAATAACACAATTATATTGTGTACCAGATAACCAGGACTCGGGGTCTCTATGTTAATTGAGATGGCAAGGTGATTTCAGGGTTTTACGGGTCCCTTGATTACTATACATAATATATATACTAAAAGTTCCACCATTATCAATTTAAGTTACAATGGTCCTGTTTGATTTTTTAAAACTAAAATTCTCCATTTGTAACATCCAGAACAGTGCACAATTCATAGGTCTACAGCTCAGGTAGTCTGCCCGGTTTTGCCTGCTTCGTGGAAGTGGGTTGGACACGCGCAGCCTTCCGGGCCTGGCTCCCCGCCCGTCCACGCGCCCGCTCCCCGCGGCCCGGGGTGTGGTGGCGCATCGCGTGTCTGTACCGCAATGGACTTCTTTTTAGATGGCCACTCTGGTTGTAACTAATTTTTGTCTCTCATAATTAATATTGTTATGAACATTCTTGTATGTCTTTTGATGAATTAAGCACACATTTATGCTTCAGTGTTGGACATACACTTAAGAGCAGAATTTCTGGGTCCTAGGTTTGCACTGACGTTTCAGCAGTTTTCCCAAAGCTTAACCAAATTGCGTTTCAATCAACAGTGTACGGAGTTCCAGCTGCTCCATACTTTACCCTTGCCAATATTCGGTATTTTGTTGTTTTTTGTTTGTTTTATTTTCACTTTAGCCAGTCTGATGAGTGTGTAGGGGTATCTCATTATGGTTTAAATGTGCAATTCCCTGATGACCAATTATTTTGATCAACTTCTCATAGGTTTAGTGGCCATTTGGGCAGTCTCTTTTGTAAGAAAATAAGATGTTCAGGTTTTTAACTCTTAAAAATAGGATTATCTGCCTTTTTCCAATTGATTTACTTATGTTCGGAATAGGCATTCTTTGTTGATCACATGCTTTAGAAATATCTTCTCCCAGTCTGTGACTTACCTTTCGATTCTCTTAATAGGGTGTGACGGATAAACAGAATTTTTACAAAGTGTAATTATGAATATTTTCTTTTATGGTTATATTCTGCTGAATAAGTCTATGCCAATCCCAAGGTCATGAATATGCTCTCCCATGTTACTTTTAAGACATACCCACTCTTGGGAGGGGAGCACTTTGCAAAGTTGGCCACCAGCTCTCACAATTCTTTAAAATGCATTATTTTAAAGTTCCAGCAGGGGGTGGTGTTGCTATATAAAAGGAGATACAAAAGATTTTATATTTCTCAGAGTTTTCAAGAGGGTTATTTAAAAAACATTCTTTCCCCTGATTTGCTTCTATAGGATGAGAAATATGTAGTAATGTAAATTTCACTTCAAACATACACTTAAATATGCGTGGGTTAGAATCTTAACATAGGGCACATTTATTAGACAAATTGATTAGGCTTTTTTTCTAAAGAGAAGACTTTTCCAAGGCAGAAAAGTTGGAGTGGGGAAGGAACTGAAAAGGGGGGGAAGGGAGAGCTGAAACTTTATCTGTCTCACAAGTTTATTTACCATGACAAAACCAGGCTGGGGATATAAATATTTTAGGTCCCAGGTCTAGTTTTGGTTGGTTTAGTTCAGAAAGGCACGGAATTGTTTTCTCCTGGGTCTCTGAAAAGAGAAAGCATGTTTTGATATCCATAATTCTTCTCTAAGTAAGTCAAGCTTGTAATTTTAAACTTGAATTCCGGAATTACACATTTAAGCCACAATGAGAGCATTAAAAATGATTGCAGGTCCTCTCTGCTCATGTATACATTTTTAAACCTCTCTATAAAAGAAGAGCATAGGCTTAGGTAATCCCTAAATCTTTTTTAGGTCTAACATTTTAACAAGCTTTTCCCTACTTCTAACATGGAATTTTTACTTTTCAGAGAAGTGGGAGATAGATCCGTCTGAGTTGGCTTTCGTAAAGGAGATTGGAAGCGGTCAGTTTGGTGTGGTCCACTTAGGTGAGTGGCGAGCACATCTCCAGGTAGCTATCAAGGCCATCAACGAAGGCTCCATGTCCGAGGAGGATTTCATTGAAGAGGCTAAAGTGATGACGTAAGTATAAACAGTACCCGGAGAAGTTTCTTACGACAGCCTGGTATCATGAAAAGAATGTGGATTTTGGAGTCAGTCACATCTGAATTTGTCACAACTCTGCTGAAACTAGTTGTGTGACCTGAGCAAATTATTTAACCTCTATGTGGCCTGGATGAGTAATTCCACCTTTCCAAGCCTCAATTTCCTCACCTGGAAAATGGGGAAAACAATTCCTACCTTGCTGGACCAATGTGTGAATTAAATGAGGTAATCTAGGAAAGTGTATTCTTTTCAGCTTAATAATAGGGTTCAAATAAGTGCACCTTTCCCCCCACTTTTCCCAGAAACAAAAATGTTGACTTTGTCTAAATAGTAATATAAGGATAAAGTATTTGCTTTCAGAGGTTTAGGAATCCTAAGCTTTAACAGAAGTGGCTCTTTCTAGACCATTGGATACTGCTCTTAACTTCTGTGATTTTCCAGATCATCATCAGTTGAACCTGTGGCTGTGTTTCATGTCTGCAAACTGGCCTGAACCAGAACAGGCCAATAATTTGACACAAATCAAGTCAACTTTCTCTAAGTATTTGTTCAACCTTTACTTAAAGGAGCATCAAATGTAGTGAAGAAGAAAAATCCAGATTACCTACATTCTGTTTTATTATCCACAGCAATTTAGTTCTGCTCCAAACTTGCAGACCTCAATTGAAAAAAACCAACCAACCAACCAACCAACCACCAACCAACCAACCAACCAAAACACCAGATGTGATTAACTGGGCCCATTTTCCTTTGAAGGCAGAGCAATACTATCTCTTGGGCTCTAAAATCCAAACTCCAAATGTCCTATCAAAATGTTCTTCCCATCCACTTACAACGAAATGATTTTCAGGGAAAGTTGTGATAAGCAAAATTTTCCAGCGACATCGGCTTCCCAAAGATGTTTTTGTGCCCCTAGGCTTCCCTGCTGGCCTTTGCTCCCTTATGCTAACTGCATCTGAACATGGGTTTCCTGTATCTAAGACAAAACATTCCTGTGTTAGATTAAATAGGCATAGTAAGGAAGGAATAAATGGGAGACATATGAGTCAGGGAAAGTTGAAAGCATATTGGAATTCCTATCAAACGAAGAATTAGGGCTGTCTAATGTCATGATGAGGGGATTCTTGGAAGGTTCAAGCTTTATTGGGCATTTGGAGTGAGGATTTCTGAGGATAGTAGCTTGAGGGTGATGGGAGATGCATGGAGCGTGGGGAATAGAAATAGCTCTTTTTAGTTTATGGGGGCAGGAATGAGGAGACTAAGGGCTTATTTTTAAGTCAGTTCAGATGGACATAATATTTTCTTGCATTTGCACACAGTCGATTTTTTCTGATTTTGTTTTTTGAAAGTGAGGCAGGAGCCCAGCTGGCATGGCTCAGCAGCTGAGCATCGACCTAAGATCCAGGGGATCCAGGTTCGATTCCTGGTCAGGGCACATGCCCGGTTGTGGGCTCAATCCCCGGTCGGGGGCGTGCAGGAAGCAGCTGACCAATAACTCTCTCTTTATAGATGTTTCTCTCTCTCTCTCTCCCTCTCCCTTTCTCTTTCTGAAATCAATAAAGATATATTAAAAAAAAAAAAAGTGAAGCAGGAAAAGCTCCCCCCTGACTTCTAACTGTGGAATGCAAATACATCCATCTTTAAAAATGTAAATAGGTGACATACATTGAGCTCTATCTGGCAAGCATAAACAGCTTGGTAATATACATATTACATTGTATATGTGCATATTATATGGTAATATACATATTACCTCCTTTTTCTAATGGTTTAGTTTGAATGTCCCCTCCTTCAGGAAGCCTCCCCTGACTACGCCGTTTAATTGGCATCCCCTTCCCCAAATGCTTTCTATTATATCACCTAGTGTTAGTCCATCAAAGCCCTTGTCACTACTTCAAAGCTTCATGTATGTGTATTTGTTTTGTTCTCCCCCCAACTAGAACGTAAGCCCCATGATAATAAAACCTTATTTATCTCTCTTCTACAACCCGGTGAGTGCCTAAAATGATGACTAGCATGTAGTTGGTGTGAGAAAAATATTTGTGGATGGCTGAATGAGTTAGTGAACCCTTACAATTCTATGAGGTAGGTTCGATTAAGATCCCAATTTTTCAGATGAGAAAAAGGAAATCTTGTCTACAGTCTCACAGTAAAACATTGGTAGAGCTTCCGATTGAAATCAGGACTCTAAACTGTGGGCACAAAAGCCATGATCTTAAATGAACTAACATAATGATCAACAGGCATTTATTGGGCAACTGCTACAGGCCAGATCTTATAGCGGTTGCCATACCTGTTAACCAAACTTGTTGGCCTCCTGTGTAGCTTTTCCAGTTCAGTAAAATAACAACTTCAAGTCTCTTCTGTGCTCTTAATCATTATATTTTGAGATATGACCTAAATTAGGGGCCTGTACTCATGATGTTTCCAGAGCATCTGCTAAAGACGATTTAGAGGAATGAAACAAAACCAGCCTTTTCCCTCTTAGACAACTTAAGCCCATAAAAGCCTATTAAATTAAAACAAATTTAGCTACATATTTTTACCTTGGGTTTGTACTGTTTGTAATATATTCACATACACGACCTCATTTAACTCACTGGAAGGAAGAAGGTTCGGTTTTATTATCCCCATTTCACATGTAAAAAAAAATGAGGTTTAGAAAGTTTAAATAAGTTGTCCCTGGTCAGGCAGCTAGTAGGAGGTAAAACTTAAATTCAGCTCTTTTGATTACGAGCATTATATTTTCTTAATCATTTAAACACTGCATTGCCTTTAAGGGATTTTTCATTTTAGTTGTTGAACAATGGGTTTGTATCTCTGGGTGTAGCTTATAAGTGGCAATACATTATATGAAGATATATGAAATAATTATATTTATAATAATAAAAGTATACCTATAGTAATTTTAATATCAAGAACTTTTTCACTTGTATCTCATTTTATTCTTTATTTCTACATCATCATATCTTCATGCTAAAATAATTTAGATTTTGAAAGCAAAGCTTTAACATCGTAAGTTCATATTACACGGAAATTAATAAGGTAAAAACTGGAAACCCCTCAATCTTCTTGCCTCCAGCTCCCTAAGTGTTTTTCTCAGGGGGTAATTAATATTGGTCATAAAGGTTTTTAGTTAAACTCCTAGCTCTGATTACGTAAAGATAATTTAATTTAAATAGTTTGTATTCCAGTTTCTTTTTTATGTGTATCAATCACTCTTTCCTCCCTCCCGTCTGTCCAGAATTTTTTGTCTGAGCAGCTACAGTTGGGAAGGTTGAAATTCAAGGGACAGAAATGAAAGGAGAAACCGAGCGGGTGGGGCGTGGGATACTCCGCACCGCAGCACTGAGGCCCTGCGCCCTGGGCCGCCTTTCTCAGGGCGGACGGCGGGAGGGGAGCTGCGCCGCTCTCGGGCTTGGGTCCATTTTCATCGTGTCTCAGGGATGAACATCGTGCAGAGATGGTAGAAGCCCCCCGGGGAGCCCCAACACCCCCAAACGCACACTGTGTGTCTCGCGCAGGCGGCTGTCGCACTCGCGGCTGGTGCAGCTGTACGGCGTGTGCATCCAGCACCGGCCGCTGTACATCGTGACCGAGTTCATGGAGAACGGCTGCCTGCTGCACTACCTGCGCGCCCGGAAGGGGGCGCTCGGCACCGACGCGCTGCTCAGCATGTGCCAGGACGTGTGCGCGGGCATGGAGTACCTGGAGCGCAGCCGCTTCATCCACAGGGACCTGGTGAGCGGGGGCCGCCTGGGGCGCCAGGGCTGCGCTGGTATTCGGAGGACGTGCCATACTGGGGATAATGCTTAAGTTGAAAACATTTTCTTCTTCGTGTAATTTGCTCGGAAGTGTAACTTTAGTATTATTTTAAAAAAATATGTTTTTATTGATTTCAGAGAAAGAAGAAGGGAGAGGGAGAGAGAGAAACATCAATGATGAGTCATTGAGCTGCTTTATTTTCAATTGCCTGTTGATGCTGTAACCGAAGAGTGTTACCCTAAATATGCCTTAAACTAACCAACCACCACACTAATTAACTAACGAAAACTAATTTACTTTTCTTTCCTCCCTCCCTCCTCTTTCCTTTCTC